AAAAAGGACTGAAGTTCACTCTGGAGGACACTTTGCTCCTTGTAGAGCTGCGGGATTCCCTGGAGAGCTGTGTTTAAGCTTCGTTAGTGAGGTCTGGAGGGGCCTAAATACTCAAGCACCCCGTCTCTCCTCTTTGTCGTAAACGCTCAAAAACACCTCTCTCCTGACCAGCGAATTAGGACACGGACCAGCGTGATGCACACTCTGGGAGCTGGTCAGCTTGTGGCCTCTGGTTGCTCCTAGCTCGGCCTCAACTGTCTGCACTCTGCACGCAGACATGTTCAGCTCTCCAGACCTCGGGGGCCCTTTCTCAGCGTGGCTCCCCACTCCCCAGCCCGGTCTCCTGCCAATTCCAGCTCCCTCAGGCTTCCAGAAATCCAATCCCGTCCCCTCAACGTGGAACCCCTCCTGACTCCGGACGGGTGCCCGGGTGAGAACAGGGGGCTCGCTGCACTCGCTTCCTCCTCAGAGGCCACGGTCCCGCACTGCCTACCGTCCCAACGTCTCAAAACAGCTCATTCTTTTATTTTATCCAGCTTTTGATGGTTTATGGCAAGCTCCCTTACGTTACTCATTCACGGCCAGAAGGAGAAGGACCTAAATTAATGTACAAATACATAGTAACAGACACCGACAGCCTGTGAGTTTGCGACCCGAAGGAGGGGTGAGGCTCACGGGTGTTCGGCGCTCTTCAGAGAAACGGCTGACTGGGGCTGGGACAGCAGACACGGAAGCCAGGCCTAGAGAATCTGATCCCACTGAGTTTCTCAGCATTCTGGCTAAAGGGGTACTTTTAGAACCCAGCCACAGGAATGTCAGTCGGTGGGTCTCAAACGTTTTCTTTCGAGCGGTAGGATCCTTTCTTTAAACAAATCGTATAAAGAGGCCCAACGTCTGAGACACCAGGAGGTCCTGCTCTGACCGGAGAGGAGGTGGGGAAGCCGGTCCTCTGGAACATGAAGGTGCCCCAGGAAAGCAGGCCCCGTGGGGACGGGCGGCTGTCGCACGTGCCATGCAGGTCTTGTCCGCTGACCCCCCATCCGGGGACAGACGGGACACACTGACCACGGGAGCGTTTCAAGGACGGAGCCAAGAGAAGGGTCAGGAGCCACAGAGAAGCAAGGCAGCGTGCAGAACCGTGGCTTTCCAGCAGTGGGGTGAGACGTGCACCCAGGAGGCTGACAGGGGTGGGGGGAGGGGGAGGGGGGGAGGGGGAAGCCACTTCCTCCGGCTCTGAGCCTCTCCCTGACGAGCCAGGTCGACCCAGGTCTCCAGCAAGACCTCCTGGGACGTGCCACTGGCGGACGGCCCCAGGCGGAACCGCGTGTGCGCTGTCCATCCCTAACCTGTGCGAGCCTCACGCGCTGCGCTCCGGCTGCCGCTGGCACCTCGCTCTCAAAGGACTGGAGGAAATGTGCAGAGAGCTCCGGGCAACGGCCGAGAGGGGCCCAGCTGTCCAAAGAGTCAACAGCAGTGAAACCATGGGGACCGCGCCTTCACGGTGTCACAAAGTGCCCGAGGGTGAGTGGGGAGCGAGGCTGCGCGGAGGCCGGCCGGCACCTGGACACCTACGATCCCTTCCCCTGACGGAAGAGGCCGCATGGTGGGTCTGCGGACTCCCGTCGATTTTTCTCTAAGGAACGGCCTCCGCGCAGACGGCGTCCGTTCGGCGCGCCCCGGTCTGCACACACACCTTTGCAAGCGCCCAGGACTGCCTGCCACCGGGGTCGCACGGATGGCAGTGCCGACGCGCACGCTCCCGCGGGCGCGGGCACGGAGCTCAAACGGGAGGGGGTGCCTGGTGGGTGCCCCCCCCCCCCCCGGCTCGTCCAGAATGCCGGGTTCCGACACTCGGCCCCGGCCTATGTCTGCGGACTCGAGGCGGGCCTGTAGTGTTTCCTAACCGCCCACTCCTCGCCCGGCCAGCCTGCGGCAGACTGAGCCCCTCGGCTTCCCCAAGGGGAGCATGTGCAGTGATCCTCGGCCACGCTCGTGCCCCCACCGCTCTAGGCCCGGCCTCGGTCTTCACAGAGGTGGTGCTTGCCTGAGTGCTCAGGGTTAGGGTTAGGGTTAGGTCTCGTGAGGACGAGACCCAGAAGGGCTTCGTAAGTGTCTCAAAGAAACCTACTGCCCAGGCACGGGCAGGGGCTCCCGGCTTCCCCCAGCTCGGCTAAGCAGAGAAAATGCACGAAAGGCAGTGTGGGCGGTGTCGCCCGCCTGCCCCCCCCCCCCCCCCGCTGGCCCCCCCACCAAGCAGTGCACCTGCCGGGCTGTGCTTCCCGCCAACGACAGGCTCTGACGCTTGGCAGCCACGTCGCTCGGGGTCCCAACCGTGAGCCGAGTCCCGCTGGCTGCCCTGCGAACCCCTTGGATGGACACGCGATCTCCCTGTGGCAGCCACGGGAAATGGGGGCCCAGCCGTCCGGGACCGTGCCGGCGTCTGGTGAGGCAGGCCGCCTGGTGAAGGAAGGAGCCCACCCGAGGACAAGGACGACAGACGGCGGGTGTCCAGCATCACGCAACTCCAACCACGCCCCCCTGCACCCCCACTTTACCCAGGGTCATGGGGCGGCTGACTGCAGAGGGAGAAAGCAGGGCCTGGCAATTCAGAGACTGGGCGTCCTCTCTCTGGGGCGCTGCGTTGCACCTCAGGGGTCCCTCTGCGGGTGGGGGCACAATTCTTTGTCACAGAGGAGCAGGGCTGGCAGGGGTGGGGACGTGGGGAAGGTCGACCGCCGCACGCAGACAGCGCTGGACCTGGAGCACCTGGGAATGAGGGTGAGGGTTCCCGGGGTCCCCTCGGCCAGGCAGGCCTCCTGGCTTTACTACACATGTCTGTGCTCTGCGCCATGCCCGTTACCGAGCCGCATTTGCAAATTTAACTAAATGAAAGCTGACCAGACTTGATTTCCTTTGACGTTTCCCTATCATCCCATCCTGGGGACGGACAGAAAAACCTGCAAACGAGTCCAGTTCAGCACTGAGACAATCTTGTTACAGGGCACCAGCCACATGGGAAGCACGCTGTGTGCCAGTGAGGACCCTGGGCCGCAGAGTGGCCAGACTGAGGCTTAGGCCACCGTGCCTGAGCTCAGGCTTCTCACGCGGGCAGCAGTGGGTGCTCGGCGAGGGTTACATGGGCCAGTGGATGCAACACACTCAGCGCTTAGCAAATGAAGCCTCGTGGGAACGCTCTGTAAGGGGAGATTTTTAAATTCACAGGAAGTCTCCACGCATTACAAGACGTCCGCGAGATGCTCTCACCCCTGGCCACGCAAACGCCAGCTCGGGTTCAGTGGACTGAAACCCTAAAAGCAGGGTTCTGTCCCTTATGCTAAGTAGTCGCGAGGGCCGACAGGTGACCACCTCTTGTGCCCTGAGACCTGGCAGCCCCAGGCTCGTCCGCGTCAGCGGGCCGGCCTCAGGGCCCTCCAGCTCGCTGTGAACTCAGCAGGGCGCGCAGAGGGGATCCCCGGAGCTACCGGGAGGTCCTCCCCGGCCACGGGGCCCAGTGGCGCCGCGGGCCAGCAGGCCACGGGCTGGGGCGAGCAGTCCGCGGCTGTTTTTACGTGACGTGTCTTGGCTGTTTCAAGGCTTAGGTTTTTATTTTATTTATTTACTTTTAACTCAAGAAGAAGTTTTAACTTTCTCATGACTCATTTCTTTCAAAATGGTGTCCTTGGGCACTTGCAGCGTCGCAATCGTGCGAGGGAGCGGCCGGCTGAAGTAGGTCTCAGCTCACAATGGCATCCGCGATGTCACGATGTCATTCAAAACTGTAAGAAGCTAACAGATCAGGATCATGGCTCAATCCTAAGTCAGAAAGAACGCTGGGTGTTAAAGATTTATCCCAAAGAAATTTAACACAGCATTCTCTGTTGATAAACGTGTATATTTCCCAAAACAAATATCTGAAAGATGTGAAGCTATGATCATTCAAAACACCTTCCACCTCGTTTGAAACAGGCTCTGTAAAAACGGACTGTGAAGGGGGGCCACGCTAGCCGCCACCGTGCAGGTGACCGGAGGGGCGCCCAGTGCCGACGACCCGCGGGCCGCCAGACGCCTCCGTTTCCAGCCTGAAACCAGCCTCTCTCCCCTACGGCAGCCTCCACGGTGCCAGCTGCTGCCATCTGGTTCATTCACGCTCAGAAATACGAAAGATGGCCCTCAGTTTTCAATCTCACAACTTCAAAAGGACTTAAAAAGAAAAAAGCCACCAAGAGGGAGGTACGAGATCAACGAAAACGTGATGTCCCTGACAACCGCATTAGCTGGTGCAAGCAGCCAGGGCCCGCAGGTCCTAGAGACCCTCCAGACCCGACGCGCGCGCCTGGGAACGTGCCTGGGGCCGGGGCGGCTCTGCCAACCTCTCTCCAGGCCGCCGGGATGCAGGGAGACAGCAGCTACTCACGGAGCGGTCAGGCCCTGGGACTGGGGACCGAGGCCCCCCCCCC